TTGTGCACATCTGCATAAGGATTTCAGCTTCTGCTTTGAATTATATTGTCAACTATTGTACAAGCAATTTGTCTGAACATTTGGAGAAAGATGTTGTATAAGTACTTGTATCCTCTCTGTAGGAGGAAAATTCAGCAGGATACAGGTGACATAACTTTGCTCTCTTTTGCATCTAACTGCCAAAAAGTATCCCTTTTTTGGAACCCCAGATTGTGTCTTAGCCTGCAGGTTCACGCTGTTTAGACTCCCAAACCCATAACCTAAGACTTGGAAACCAACCAGTAAGAGAGGGAGGGAAGGAATATTTTTGCAATTGCTGCAAGAACTTTCCAAGAGCTATTCTTGGAGCTGGGAGTGTTGACACCAGGCTGTCAAAAAGAGAACAGGGAAGGATTCTAAATGGAAATATTTTAAACTGTGTGCTTGACAACACATACTAAGTGGCCAAACAAGCAAACAAACAAACAAAAAAACACTAGTGACAGAGGCTTAGATAGAGTAACTGAATATGGGCTGGCTCATTGACGGCCTTGTTAGTGCAGTAATTCCATTTCATCAAAGGTGATGTGGGGTAGTAACTGCCAGAGATCAAGTCACAGCTTTGCTGCATACTGGCCACATGACTGAATAAATGAGGCTCTCTGTACCTTAGCTTCCTCTTCAGCAAAATAAGCACAATAATAATATCTGACTTAGAGAGTTGTTACAAGGCTTAATTAGAGTTCATACATATATATATATAATAACAGCTACTCCTTACCTTGTTGAAAACACATTATACATATATACTCCTACTCCTTACCTTGTTGAAAACACATTATACATATATAATTATACATATATAATGTGTTTTCAACAAGGTAAGGAGTAGTTGTTATTATACATATATATGAACTCTAATTAAGAGTTCATATATACATATAATAATATATATAAGGAGTAGCTGTTATTATATATATGAACTCTAATATAATAAAACACATTATATGTGTATAATGCGTTTTGACAAGGTAAGGAGTAGCTGTTATTATTATCATTTTTAATCGGCTATCCCTACAGGTAGCTCAGTTCTAGTATCTTCAACAAAGATAGGGTAAAGCAAGAGTAATGGTACTTAAAGAGACACTGTCCCCCCAATGATGTATGGAAATAGTGGGATTTTCTTGTGTCTAGATTTAGTGGAGAAAGAAGTAGAACAAGTTGGAAGAATATGTGAATGGCAACCTAAGGCATAAAGAGATTAGAAATAACAAAAAAAAGTTACTAAGAATGTAAACTTTATATAAGATGAGCCACCACATTATCTAAGAAGGTTAAACCACAACCTTAAACCATATCTATAACCCTTTTGATTATTTTCTTCCCTTTACACCATACTTTGAAATGATATGTCAGTAGGTTCTTACTAAGTAATAATTTAAAGGCTTTAATTTTGTGTGTTATTTGGAGATGGAAGTAACTGTCCAACAAATGTTCTAAAATGATTTAAAGTGCCAAGTTACTCCGAGCTGATAAAATTCTACTCTGAAAGATGATGTGGTAGTATGACCTGTACAAAATGCTCAGTGTGTCCTTTAATAATTCTGATGCCAATTAAATCCATCACAAATATCAGACTGGAATGGAGTGTCAGGAACCACTATATCTGGAGCTATTTCTTGTTTCCTGATTTGTAGGAAAGAGCTCAGACACAAAGCTCAGAGTAATTGCAAAGCTGGACAACAATTTTCAGATCGATAGCATTTTGACCCTAACCTGCAACTACTTAACATGCAATCTCTGCATTTAACAAGCTGTTTTCTTATAAAGTAATTTTAAATTACACCTCAATCACTTTTTTGGTACTTGAAATAAACAGAAAAAGAAACAAAAAGAAATCACATTGGCATGATAGTTACCTCCAAATATGTTTATTCATGCCTCATCTACATGATTAATGTTCAATGGTCAAATAAAAATTGCTTAAATGAAATGCCACCACCATCATCCATCACAGTCTAGTCATAAAATGATCAGTTTCACCATTCATAAAATGAAGCTAAAAGAGCTTATTCTTGCCATGAGGTTTGCGGATTAGGCCTACACCTTCCATTTGAGTTCATTCTTCACCTCACTGAGAGCCACCAATAAACAAAAGAAGCAATTGTGGTTGAGAACATCAGCTTTGCACCTAAACTTTGAGGTCTGGATCGCAGCTCCAACATCTTATATCTCTGTGACCATGAGGAAGTGAGCCTCAGTCTCCTCATCTGGAAAGCTCATGATCATATCCACCCCAAAGAGTTATTGTGTGGACTTCCACAGATGATATAGGTTGAGAGATTGGCACTGTGTCCAGCAAGTAGTAAACAACTGATTCATGTCAGCTACCTTATGATGTTTATTCAATGACTGAAGCTCTGAAAGGGTCAACATATATTGAATGGACATCAGTAGATACGTGTTGAATGAAAGCATCTGAGGCATTGTTTCCTTGGGCCGAGGGCAGATAGCCCAGGAGGAAACAGAAACCTTGACAAAATTATTCTCCCTTTGAAAGCCAAGGGTCAACAGGCTATGTGATTAAAGGGTTAAAAAGCAAGCATCCTAGCTTCTCTTTCTTGGTCTATCCCACCTAGGAGAGATGGAAGAGAAAAATTCCCCCAATTCCACCCAAGCCTCCTAAAGATCACATAGAAGAGAACAAAGATCTCACCTCCTTGTCATTTTCTCATTTTAGCTTCTTCTGGTATTACCCTACTTGGTGAAACCTGAGCTAGGATTGGGAGGTCAATTTAATTGCCTATTTATGGATGTAAAGTGATGCAAAGTGAGCCCTCACTGTTGAGAGGATGTAAATGGATTCACCAAGCCAACACTGAACCACAGTTCAAAAACCTCAGGCCTGACACTGTCAGATCCTCAAGCTCTGGGTGCACATGGGTGGTGCAGAGTGCATCCCAGGCACTGAAGTGCATCCCAGGCACCTGGCATAGGTGCACTTCCAGGAGACTAGATAGATGTAGATGGGAAGTCTTCACACTGGCCTCATGCCTTGGCATCCTGATGATGCACTACCCTGCAGAGAGTGGAGAGCACCCAGAAATTCCCCAGTCCACTCACTTCACTTATCAGTATCCTGTCTTCCCCCTAGTGAGGAAAACAAAAAGAGAGCATGACTGTTGAGTTCAGGGTGGATGGGCACAGGAATCATTGCATAATGTAGCCTTCTTTCCTTGATCTGTTCAGTAAACATTTACTAAGGGGCCAGGTATTAGTTTACTGCATTGCAAAACAAGCCTTCCGAAAATTAGTGACTTAAAACACTGACAACTTTTTTTTTAGTTCACGGCTCTGCAGGTCAGTAATTGTGGCTTGTCCTTGAAGGCAAAATTGTGTCTTATACAGCTCTAGATTAGCAAGTACCAAAGGGCCTTGCACACAGTAGGCATTTGATAAAACAAGTAGAATGAATTTAGTAAGTAGAAAACAAGGGATGATGATTTAAGTCTCCTTGAGGCTCAATTTATGAGCAAAAGATGGTCGATTGCACTCATTTTAACAAGTGTATTTTAATAAGCCTATGTTCCCTGTTGAATCTCCATGTCTATAAAAACTTCTAGCAAATAGTAGGTGCTTATAAATATGTTTAAATGAATGAATACTTTTTCCAGAATCCAACACTTATCTCCTTTTCTACCCTTCTATCAATGCCACTGTCATCTGTCGCCTTGATGGTTGTGTTAGCCTCTCAACTGGAGTCTGGGTCTTTGTCTCTTTGCTACCCTCCGCACACCAGCCAGAGGAATCTACAAAAATCTAAGTCAAATTGTGTCACTCCTGTGCTTGATTTTTTTCATTGGCCCCCTTCTCACTCAGACTAAAAGCTGAAGCCTTTACAGTGTCTTATATGCCCCCCATGCTTCCTTCCCCACTGTGTCCTCTGCTTCTTCTTGTCTCCCCACACTTCCTCCTTCCCAGCCACACTGGCCCCTTGCTGTTCTGTGAGCCCACCAGCCTCACTTCCTCATGCTTTTAAATTTGTTATTATTTCATATGCCTTGAAGGTTCTTCCTTACCTCCTTCAATCTTTTCCTACATGTCGTGTTCTCAGTGGGGTTTTCCCTGAAAGCCATGTTTAAGATTTCATTGCAACCTCTTCTTTCTCTGTTTTATTTTTCCCTATAGCCCACTTATCTCCATCTAATATGCTATGTATTTTACTCACTTATTTTGTATGTTGCCTACCTGCCTCCCCTAAACTAACATATAAACTCCCTATGGGCAGGAAGTTGTATTAGTTTGCTTGCTGCTAAATCTCCAGCACTTAGAACAGTGTCTGGAACAGAGTAGGTACTCGATAAGTTACTGTTGGATGAAACCATCACATGCTTCATGAGAAGTGTACATTTCCTTGGTTAACACCGAATCCATGCCATATGACCCATCAGTTCTGCTCATGGGCGTCTTTCCAAGAGAAGTGGAAACTATGTTCACACAAAATTGTACATTAATGTTTATAGTAGCATTTTTATAAAGCCATAAAAGAGAAGCAATCTAAATGTCCATCAATTGATAAATGAATAAATAGCGTGGCATATCCATACAATGGAATATTATTCAGCCATAAAAAAAGAATGAGGTACTACACATGCTACATTGGATGAACCTTGAAAACATGAGGTTAAGCGAAAGAGGCTGGTCACAAAGGACCACACACTGTATGGTTCCATTTACATAAACTGTTCTAAACAGGAAAATCCATAGAGACAGAAAGTAGATGGTATTATTCAGGACTTAGTGAAGTAGGAAATGGAGAGTGACTGCTAAATGTTATAGAGTTTCTTTGGGGGTGATTACATTTTCTGGAATTACATAGCAGTGATGGTTGCATAATTTTTTGAATATACTAAAAAACCTGACATGTACATTGAAGTGGGTTATTTCTATGGTATGTAAATTATCTCTAACTTTTCTTAAAGTTACAGAGACAACAAAAAAACTTGAATCCAACATTACCCATGTCATCCGGAGGTTAGATCTGAAGTCCAGGGTCACACAGTTACCTAGAGATGAAATCAAGGTTTGCACTATTTATTCAAAGAATTATTGCCTCAGCTTCTGTTTTGTCTTAAGCCCTGCTTGGTGGAGTAAACAAAACAACACAGAGTATACATTTAAACAATGTCTAGTTCATTTGGAGGACAGACAGTTATGAATACAAATAAATAAAATTGAAGACACCACCTAAATACCAGAAGTGAGGTGGAAACCAAGAGCACAGGAGCACAGAAGAGAGTGTTGTTTATTAGGAAGGGTTCCTGGAGCCAGGCTGGAAAGCAGGTAGGGATTCTCCAAGGACAGGGAAGGAAAGAATGAGCATTCTAGGCACATGGAGCTTGAGAAACAGCACGGAATTCCCCAGCGGACAGTAAGGAGTGCAGGCGAGCCGAATGCAGGAGAGACAGGCTGAAGAGATGCACCCTGAGGGTGCTCAGTCCCGTGCTATGTGGGCTGCATCTTCTCCTACAGGCAACAGCCATCGGCAGAAGGTTCATAAGCACAGAGCTGCTATGATAGAATATGTATTCTGGCAAGGCTAAGCCTCCAGCCGTGTGGACCAAGAGTTGGAGAAGAGAATCACTGATACAGTTTGGATCGGTGTCCCTGTCAACATCTTACATTGAATTGTAATCTCCAGTGTTGGAGGTAAGGCCTGGTGGGAGGTCATTTGATCATGGGGGTGGATTTCTCATGAATAGTTTAGCATCATCTTTTTTGGTGGCGTTCTCATGATAGTGAGTGAGTTCTCGTGAGATCCAGTTATTTAAAAGTGTGGCACCTGCCTGCCCCCCTCTCCTGCTCCTGCTCTGCCATGTAATGTACCTGCTACCCCGTCGCCTTCCACCATGATTGTGAGTTCCCTGAGGTCTCCCTAGAAACTGAGAAGATGATAATATTTTGCTTCTTATGCAACCCATAGAACTGTGAGCTAATTAAACCTCTTTTTCTTAGAAATTACCCAGTCACAGGTATTTCTTTATAGCAATGTGAGAACAAACTAATACAGACATGCATGATGAGGAGGGACTGCGCAAACACAGGAGGTTAATGCAAGAGCTTGGGTTCAGGCTGTGGCATTGGGCATAGCCAGGAATGAAAATGACCCAGATGCATCCAGAGGGAGGATCTGGTGACCAACTGGACACAAGGGGGAAAAAAGTCACAGATGTTGCAAAGTATCTCACCTCAGAGGCAAGAGAGTTTTGCTATTTTACTAATTTCCAGAGGGAGCACAAGAGTTGAGAGCAGGTTAGATGGGGGAAAATTGAGTTACATTTGAGATATTTTGGCTTTAAGTTGCTCCCAGGGACTTGTCCAGCAGACAGTTGGACAAGGAAGGACTATTAAAATATTAGCTACATGTAAGAAATATTTTGAGCATAGACTACATTCCACAGAATGTTCTCAGCCTTTCATATACATTATTCAATTTCTATCAAAAGCCCTTTGAAACAGAGAAAGACAGCCTTCTCCTGCCTACCTTCTCCTCACAATAGCTTTCTCTCACCGCCTGCCTTCTACACCTTATATCTCTCCACCCAAGCCTTCATCCCACCTCTGCCTCCTTCCCACCATTGCCTTCTCTCTTTTCCTGTCTTCTCTCTCATCTTTTCCCACTTCTGTCTTCTCCCCTCCACTACTGTCTAAGAGCAAGAATCTTGGATATGAATTTTATGTTAACTGTGGCAAAAGGTACTTCTGAGAACTGAGAGGTAATCTGAAGGACAAGACTTATTTGCCCCATGCTCTTATTTGTTAGACAACCATTACAATAATCACGCTTCTCCACAGGGGCTGTGTTCCTAGACCTTCAGTGGATTACTGAAACAGCAGATAACACCAAACCCTACATACACTGTGTTTTTGCCTATACATACGCACTTATGATAAAGTTTGATGTATGAATTAGGCACAGTAAGAAATTAACAACAATAACTCATAATGAAGTAGAACAATTGTAACAAAATGTCAGCATCACTACTCTTCCACTGTGTGGCCATTATTAAGTAAAATAAGGGTTATTGGACACAAGCACTGCAATATCACGACAGTCAATCTGATATTCTAGACAGCTACTAAGTGGCGGATAGACAGGGAGAATCTACAGTGTGGAGATCCTGGACAAGAGGAGAATTTGTGTCCTGATCAGGACAAAGTGGGACAGTGAGAGACTTCATCACACTGCTCAGAAAGGCACCCAATTCATAATTAATGAATTGTTTATTTCTGGAATTTTTCCATTCAACGTTTTTGGAACACCCGGTGGTCTCAAGTAAGGAAGCCCTGTAAAGCTTTGTTACTGCAAGAAGGGACTATTGTAACTGGATACCTCCTTTGTGAGAGGCGCTGTTCTAGGTGCTGAAGGCAGAGCTGTGATGGAAACAGAAACCCTTGCTTTCATGGAGCTTACCTTCTAAGGAGAGCAGAGTGAGGATAACACATCAGAGAAGGAAGCAAGAAGCAAAAACTCAGCTCAGACCGGAATGCAGGGAAATAGTTTGGAGGAGTTTTAGGTGAGAGACAAAAGGGAATGGGGTAACTGCTGTGTCAAGCAGTGAGAAATAACCTATGCATAGTTCAGCCATGGAGCTGTACTCACTAAGGTGAGAACAAAAAGCAAGTTTTCTCTTTATGACCACTGCCCCCCAGCCAAACTACCTCTGTACTATTTCTCCCCTTGGCTCTTGGATGAACTCAGGCAGTCTCCATGGTTTTTACAATGGTTTTACTACTTGGCAGTAAAATTTCCAATTACTTTTGGCCACCAAGGAAACCACCACCACCGTTCTCCCTTCCATTATGATGCCTAAGTCAGGACAATGATTCTTATCTGGGCTTCATTCAGAGTTGAAACTTCTCGCTTCTCCCAGGCTCAGGAAAGATACAAACCCCAGATCCTGTAAGATGCCGTGGATCTTTGCTCTATTTTGGGGCCCACCTTGCCTTTCTGCTTTATCTCCCCCTAAATAGCCAGTCTTGGGTCCTGAATATCCCAGAGTCAGGCGTATGGAAAGAAGAATTAGAGGAGAAGGTCAAGGCCTGGTCAGTTGCGACTGTCACTCTCCAGCCTTGGTGCTCTCCAGACCTGGAAGTAGTAAAGGCTGATTGTTTCTCCCAAGAGGTGCTTTGTAGCTTTCTCGGAGATTCCCCACCAGGAACTTAAAGTTACTTTCTCATAGTTACTGTATTTTCTCCTGGGACAGTCTTTAACTCCAACCCTCAGCCCTGGTATTTGGCGGTTCACTTCATAGAGACACTTTCTTTTTGGTGTCCCATTTCACCTCCGGGAAGACCACAATGAGCTTCAGCTCATTTCTGCTCATGAGAAAGACCCCAGAAACTTTAGTACCACAATGGATGAAAATATTCATCACAAATGTCAGTCCTTTCTCTCTTCTATGCGGTCCCATTGAAGAAGACACAGTGTTGCTATTCAATTTCTCGGGAAAAATCAGACAACTGTCCTAACTGTCCACTGGGTTCCCTAAACCCTAGGGGGTACATACCAAACCCTTCAAGTGGTCCTTGAAGCCACTCTCACCACACAGGAGGCAGGAAGGAAATTTCTACAGTGCTCCACAACCCTGCCCCACGCATGATCTTGTTAGATCAGCTATTTTAAATCCTAACGCAGTAGTCAGCAAGACTTTTCTGTAAAGGGCCTGATAGTGAGTTATTTAAGCTTTGCAGGGAAAACAGTCTCTGCAGCAATTCTCAACTCTGCAATTTTTTTTAAAAAAAAAAGAAAAGAACAGTGGGCTATACTTAAGCAAATGGATATGGCTGTGTTCCAATACAACTTTATTTACAAAAACAGGTGTCAGCCTATGGGCTCCAGTTGGACTCTCTAAAGGTAGGTCATGACCCAAGATTCTGATTTTCAGCCTTCCCATTGCAAGACCTGTGAAGATGGGGCAGCACTTCTCTTGAAAGACAGAGGGTCTTTCCTTACTGTTTTTTCTTGCTGAAGTCAGAGAGAGAGAAATGGTCTCATTGTAACATCCCATTAAACACACGCACACAGAGACAAGAAAGAAAAATGATGGAAACAAAGAAAAAGATTGGTAAAGACATTTTGAAAAAACTTGCTGTGTGTTAAGAATGAAATTCCCTATAGCGTTTCTGAGATAATTGGTCATGCAGGTGGCTGAGTCTTTTGACTGTGACATGTGGTGGGAGGAGACCAGAGAAGCCCAGTTTTATCTGACATGTAACAGATTCTCTTTTCATTTTATGGTTGGGAAAAAAAAAAACTAGTACCATAGAGATCAAATAATCTGCCTTTGGTGCCATAGCTAATAAGACACAGAACCAGGATTTAATTCCAGTTTTCCATGACCACCAATGCCTATGTAGATTTTATTTAGCTAGATGATTGTACTTGCCTTCTATTACTGCTGTAACATATTATCACAAATTTAGTTGCTTAAAGCAACGGAAATTTATTATACCAGAGTTTTGGAAGTCAGAAGTCCAAATGGGTTTCACTGGGCTAAAGTCAAGATGTCAGCAGGGCTTTACTCTTTCTAGAGACTCTAAGAAATAATCTGTTTTATTTCCTTGCCTTTCCAGTTCCTAGAAGCCACTTGCATCCCTTAGATTGTAGCACCTTTCTCCATCTTCAAAACCAACAGTGTAGCATCTCCTGTGATGGTCAATACTGAGTGTCAATTTGATTGAGTTGAAGGATGCAAAGTACTGATCCTGGGTGTGTCTGTGAGGGTGTTGCCACAGGAAATTAACATTGGAGTCGGTGGGCAGGAGAAGGCAGACTCCCCCTTAATCTGGAGGGTGCAATCTAATCAGCTGCTGGTGAGTATAAAGCAGGCAGAAAAATGTGAAAAGGTGAGACTGGCCTAGCAATTCAGCCTACATCTTTCTTCCATGCTGGATGCTTCCTGCCCTCAAACATCAGACTCCAAGTTCTTCAGTTTTGAGACATGGACTGGCTCTCCTTTCTCCTCAAGCTTGCAGACAGGCTATTGTGGGACTTTGTGTGATT